TTATTTTATTTTTGAAGACACGCAATTGTCATGAACTTTACTGGAATTTTTGGGTCGTCAATATAAATAACTTGGACAGGATTTTGAAACTTAGAAGATATATGAAAACTATATATGATACGGAATCAATTCAATTGGTTTTCTGCTTGATTATTCAGAGATGCGTACGAACAAGTTCCGTGTTGATAATTGTGTGGGCAAACCTTTTTTCAACACTCCACGATCAATTTCTCTGCTTCCTTTCGTCATTTGGCGTTAGAGTTCTGTGGGGGTTAATTGTTTTGATCTGTATTTTGTTTCGTTCTTCACTTAAATTTAATTTCTGTGTACAAACAATGTGCCGCCTCCTTCAATCAAATTCGCCTACAGACTCAGTCGGAGACCATCACTGCAATTTGGCTTAGCAAATTGAGTTGACAGGGTAAATGATAGCTGTTTCTTAAACCATTAAAATAAAATAAAGAAACAGAGACAAAATCACTTTGTCGCAAAAGATATATATTCATTTCATTATCAAAGAAGTTTCCTTAATGGTGTGTTTACTAATTAAGAATTGGAATTCCCATCAAGAATTGAATTCCACCTGTGGAGGATTCCTGCGTTTACTTTACATCAATGAATTGAAAAGTAAGTGGGGCTCACACAAAATGGAATTCAATTCTTGGGTGAGATGTAATATTCTAATTCCTGGAGAACTAACTCATTAGGAATTCATCTTTTTTACCCATTATATCCTTACACAAATTTCAAAATTTCAAATTTGGCACATACTTTAATCAAGGGTAAATGGGCGAATACCCCCCTGAACTATCACGCTAGTTGAAATCTACACCTTGAAATAATTTTTCAGCCAATTTAGCACTCCTACTAAATTTTATCACCAATTTACTCCTTACCGTTAGTTTTTGGCAATTTCCATCCAAATCTCTGTTAAAAACACCACGTGAATTGCACATGCCAACCCTGCAAACCAAATCTCTTGATCCTTCTTCTCTCTTCTTCTTCGTCTCTCTTCTCTTCTTCCACATCCCTCCCCCAGCCCCTACACACCCAACGACAGCCCCACATAAAAGCCCACCAGACCACCATCTCTCTCTCTCTCTCTCTCTCTCTCTCTCTCTCTCTCTCAATTGCACCTGGTCAGACCACAAACGTTTTGGTACAAGCAAATCAAGCTTCAGGCAGATACTTCAATCTGCTAGTGGCCTATTCTTGCATACCTCAAAATTGGGGTTTTCCACTTCGTCCACTTTCTCAACCTTCACAGGCTAGTGAATTTGCACCGACATCCATAACATTCGAACCTTTCTCAGGCAAATCGAGTTTAAAAGCAGGAGATGCATCAGACCCATCAACGGTTTTCACCGTAAAATCAGCACCGTCCGATTGTTTCTCATCCTTGTTGACCCCAAAAGGCCCAGCTTCGCAATCAACAACAATATTCACCGGTGCTTCGAATTTAATCTTGGGGTGTGTCAAAGTGTTCACCTTTGGTGCTTCATTGAGTTGTTCTAGAACAAAAGAAGGGTTATGGTTAAGGTTAGAGGAGGTGGCAGGGAAGGTGGAGCAGACGCGAGAGAGAGCTATAGAGCGACAGGGTAAAAGGGATTTGAAGTCCTTGAGAGAAATTTTAGGGGTTGGCATAAGCCATCGACGAGGTACGTCTGGACTCTGTGAAGGTTTCCTCTGTACAATGAAATACCTTTTAAATATATTATATTACATTTTCCTTATTTTTCTTAATGCATTACCTTTTAAAATGTCAAATTTACCCTTATATTTGACAGGCATTTGGATGGAATTGTGAAAAGGCTAACAGCAAGGGTGAAATTGGCGAATAAATTTAATACGAAGGCTAAATTGGTTGAAAAAAATTTCCAGGGTGGACATTTCAACTAGCGTGATAGTCCAGGGGGGTTTTCGGCCATTTACCCTTTAATCAAATAACGATGGTATTTTAGTAATTAGTACAACTCATACCCCAATTTCATATGTTTTAGTAAACAACTTTAATAGGAATTCGGAATCTAACTCCCCTCAATCCATATGGTTTAGTAAACAACTTCAATAGGAATCCAGAATCTAATTCTCCTCAATCCATGGCCAACTCTTCCTCAATTCAATTCCTCATAATCCAATTACGGATTAGTAAACATGCTATAAATGCCAAATATTTCACAATATTGAATTTCTTAATTATCAAACTGTCATGTATTTTGCTTGACCGAAAAAATAAGTGTCATACTCTCATTCCTTAAGAGAGGTCAGGGGTTCGATCCCTGTTCTTGTACAGAGTCACCATTTTGGCCAGCACTTTACCCCTTACGGGCCGACCCGGTGTGAGCGGGGATTAGTCTGGGTTGTTATTAAGGCTTAAAGGTGCCACCCATAGTTGGGGCCCATTCAGGACCACCTCGTGGTTCAGACAAAAAAAAAAAAAAAAGGGTCATATATTTTAAATTAATAAGATGTCAAGAATAATAATAATAATATAAATGATTTGCTGTAAGACGTCTTGAAACAATGCACCGCCCGGAGTACTATTTTCAAGCATAAATACGCACTGGCTCCAAAAGGTTCAATGAAGACAACTTATCCTCCGACTTTATTCATGATCAATCAGTTTATAAACTTTATAATACAACTTGCAATCTTCGGTAAAACAAAATAAAAATAAAAATACAACCGATCAAATAATATTGACACACAAATCCCTAGTATCACCTAAACTTATACCTCAATTTTAATTTGTCACTTTAAAGAAAAATTTAAGAGAAATGTCACTTAATTTTTCAAAAGGGTGGGTTGAGGGAATTTGTTTGTGGAGGGTAAGTGTTCCATGGTAGAGAGAGAGAAGGAGGAAGGGGAGGAGGGAAGGGGGAATGGAGGAAGGGGATGTGAAGAGGGAATGGAGGAAGGGGATGTGAAGAGGGAATGGAGGAAGGGGATGTGAAGAGGGAATGGGGAATGGATTTCAAGGTGGGTGGGGTTGGTCGGAGCCACCAGTGGTGCACATGGGATAGGGGAAGGTGAGATTTTTTTTAAAATACAATTTTTTAATAATGATTTTTCCATTTTTAAAATACTCTTGAAAATGGAAAGACTGAAATACCCTTTAAAATAGATGGAAAATTAGATGGTGTTAAAGTCAGATGACAAATTATGGAATTTGAAAAATTAAGGTGACATTTCTCTTAAATTTTTCTTTAAGGTGACAAATTAAAACTGAAGTATAAGTTCAGGTGACATTTCTACAAAAATAATTAGGACTAAATTTTACCCCCTATAGATTTGGGGGCATTATCAAAATGGGCCACATGATTTCAATTTCATCAATTTGCACCTCAATGTTTTAAGATTTGTTCAATTTACACATTCAGCCAATTTGACCGTATGGTGTTCTGTTAAGTTGGGACCCACCTTTGTGTTGATGTGTCAATAAAAACAATAAAAATTCCTTAAAATAATAGAACACTAATATTCGGGGATCTCCTCTTACTTGTCCCCGATTTTAACCTGAAATCGGATTTTGGTATGACGGGGATCCCTAGTTGAGGTTCATCAATGGCGGTTCCTGGTGGTGGGTTCTGCCTTATATTTTCTTCTTCTTTTTTTTCTCCAAGTTAATCTCCATCGGATGATAGCGGTGGTGGTTTGATTTCTCATCTCTATCTTGAATGTTTTTTAAAAGTAAATTTTAAAAACTAAAATAGTGTTTTGATGCAGTAAAAGTAAAAAGATGATGGCATTATAATTTTTAAACTAGTTTTTTTCCTAATTTTTTGATTAAATCTAATGGTAGGTGATCACAACTTCCTTAGACCATGTTTATAGGAGAACGCGACCATATAGACTCTTTTCTTTTCCTTTTTTTCTTTTTTGTTGTTGTGAGAAATGGTTTTACTTTTATTTTTTGAGAAATGGTGTGGAGTAGACTTCAGGATTTAGGAAGCTAATGTTATATATGTGGAAAACAATATTTAATTTTCTGCATTAGAAAAGAAAAGACAAAAAGACGCTGCAGGTTTTTGAAAATTTCCCGCCACAAAGCGTTTTGTTGGTTTACGGTTTTCTTTTATTTTCTGAACCCATAGGATTTTCCCCAATTCGATTATAAATATTCCAGTTGAGATCAGGAAAGCAAAAGAATCAAAACCCTTGGTCCCCAAGCACATCTCCAACCGTCTCAAATGTATCGCTCTCTGTCTCCCTTTTATCACTCTGCAACAACGCCTGAGCTTCAGAGCTTGTATTTGATTTCTTTAGGTATGCTTTCAACTTCCCATCAATGTTCTAATCCCTTTTGATTTTTGGGTTTTTTTGCTTTCATCTCATATACTGTTGAAAGTTTGGAATTTTTTCACACTCTTCTGTTTACAATTGCATTGTCGATTACAGTTTTTCTTATGTCGTGATATCATCTTCTTCATCGATCTCATCGTCTTTTCATTTTTGCTACCTAATATCATTTTCATCTTCTTTTTGGCTCTGTTGATGTTTCAAATTGCTGGTCGTAGTTTTCCGGGTGTTACTTAATTTTCGAGTACTTATATTTATTCAAAGACCATGTTAATCGTTGCTAAGTTGTGCAGTATGGCGGCTAGACTATTTTCACCCAAAAAAAAAAGAAAAAAAAACCCAGTACAGCCGCGCGGCCATACTATTTCTTATATAAAATTATAGCCTATCAGCTGTACTACTAAAAAAATAATAATAATAATCGAGTATAGCCGCCCGGCGTAAAAACCCAGTATAGCCGCTCGGCTATACTATTTTTTAAAAATTAGGGCCAACCAAGTATAGCCCCAACCAAGTATAGCCGCCCGGCTATACTATTTCTTTAAAAGAATTGAAACCAGAGTATAGCCGGTCGGCGGTACTATTTCTTTCTAAAAATTAAAAAAACCGAGTATAGCCGCCCGGCGACACTATTTATTTTTTTAAAAAAATTAGGAAAAAAACCGTGTATAGCCGAACGGCTATACTATTTCTTTTTTAAAAAAAATTAGGAAAAAACCGAGATTAGTGCTTGTACTTTAGTGGATTATACAGATATTGAAGGCTTTGAAGGCTTTGTCGGGATATAAAAGCTTGTAACGATTTGGAAGAGTTGATGGGTTTATAAAATAACTTGGAGCAAGTGATCAGAGAGAGGACGAGACTGATATAATAATGGCCATGGAGTTAAGTTAGTCTTTTATCTTCAAATCTCCACTCAACTTGTTTGTATATTTGGTGAGAGTTATCTTTTTGGTCAGGTCAAATAGTATATACGTTGAGTGAAACACACTGATGCAGGATACCTCTTGGCTTTGTTGTAACCAAGCTCTGAGATAATCTGTGCATAGTTTTAACTAGCCTTTAGATTAGTGCTTGTGCTTTAGTGGATTATACAGAGATAGAATGATCGTCCTTTTCTTTTTTACGCAACAGAACAGGATGTGCTTTGTTTGTAATTGTAATTGTCTCTCACATAATGAAGAAATTTATTCTGATTAAAGTGACTAAATTAGGTTGCATTATAAATGAAAGTTTACAAAAGTTTTGTTTCTGTGTTTGTGAAAGCACTAGATCACATAGCACAAATACATTCACAAAGGGTTCTTGCCCTTTCCATCATCATATTAGATTATAGAACAAGAGGGAGAACCCAGAAAGCAATTGTTTTTTTTTCTTTTTGGAAGAAAGACAAAGCAATTTAGTCCCATCTTTTTGAATAATCCCAAAATTCAGAGCCATTCACTTCATGGTCCTAAACCCCAACAACTGAAGAAGCTCCCAGAAGAGAGAAGAAGAGGTAATTTCTCTTCCTTTTTAATCTATATCAAGGTATTTCTTGCAATCTGGCTTTGTGGTTTACACTTATCTAACTGATGTTGTGATATGGACTCTCAACTCTTAATGAGCAGATATTGTAGTAAGTATAAAATTGAAAAGCTGAGGATGGGTCATTGATAATAATACTGGATCCTACTTTTTGGTTCTGGGAGACAGCTTGTTGGTTATTATATATATGCTGACTGTCCATTATACAACAGAACATGGCAGACGCTTAATAATTCGCTATTGTCTGATATCCAATGAACGCCTCAAAGTGATGGGGGCGATGTAATCATATTTGGCTAATCTCTAAATAATTAAGATGTTTCTTTCTGATAGATTGAAGAAATTAGCATAAACTGATAAACATTGAGTCTGATATGTAGTACTTGAAACAGCAGCATGTTCCTAATCCTAGGCTGTGCGGGCGTTTCAGCAGCATTAGTATATCTATTTAAAAATATGATCAACATCTTGTACAATTGCTTACCTTTGTGTTTGGTTATTTTGTTTCAGAAAATGATAAGGTGATCGGAAATAATAAAAAATGCTTAATATCACAAAACGTTCCTGAGGTTTACGAAATAGATTGCATCCTTAATGTTTTTTTGTGTCATTCATGATCAGAGTTTGTATTGTTGATGAAGCTGAGGCCATTGGTTCAGTATATGTTTTTGCTCAGACAAAAGAAGTCTCAGTTTAAATGTTTGATTTCAGTTTGAATTATCAGAGCTTGTATTGTTAATTTACCCCTATGACCAATCCTTACTACTCCAGATAAATGAAAATGGAAATTCACTCTCTGTCGATCTCAAGACTCTCTCTCTCAAAAATATACAAATGGTCTGTACTCTTCAACTCTGCCATTATGCATACATGGTAGGGAAAGTGTGTCATGCCAAATTCCATACATTTGAAATGAAGAAGAATGTACTTTATTATAATTAGACTTCTGTTTCTTATTTATTTAGGCGATCTGTTTATCAGTTTAGGATTTGGTTTTCCAGACTAATTCTCTCTCTGTGGCTTGATCTTTGTAGATGAAGCTCAGGTCTTTGGTGTTATCCCTCGTTATATGTAACTACAAGGATCTGTTCATTCCAATCACTGTCAACTCGGGATATAAAAGTTTGTGATATGTTTTCCTCAGACAAAAAGTCTCAGTTTAAATGCCCACAGGCTCAAATATTCTTAGTTGAAAGCAGACACAAAAGAGGAATACAAATACAAGGTTTCATCAAGGAAATTTTAATATTCTCAGTAGTGTAACATAAATGTACTGTTGGACAACCACTAGACCCAAAAGCTTGTAATGAACTTTAAACTAGTTGACCACATCTTTGCTCCTCTTGATTTCACAGAGCATTTCTTTCTTCTCCAGGTAAGTTTAGCTTCGCACATGCTCCCTCTGCTGCAGAGCTTCAACATACTTTCTCAATATCAGTTCCTACATGTAGCTACCATAACACAAATTCAGCAGTTTACTTGTCAAAACTTGCATTCCAAAATGAATGTAGTAGTAATATTGTACTACATTTAACCTGTTGGCTTTTAAGCTTCTCACTCACAACACAAGTCACAAGCACAAGCAAAAAGCAATAAAAATGGAGAAAGAAAACAAGGGAGCCCATATTCTGTTGGCTTTTCTACTTTAATATTCTCTCACTGCTTCATTTTATAACTAATAAATACAAACCAAACCACCCATTTCGCTTTATAATTAAAAAATTAAAAGAAAGAAATTACCTTGCCATCATCGCAAGCGGGATGGTTCTCCAATTACAAGGGAAGGTACATGTTGAATTTTATAGAAATCCTCTCCATCTTCCTCAATCCGACGGTGGAGTTCTCTAGGCATCCCTCTGATGGTTAATTCCCTGAGATTAGTAAGATATCTCAGCTCATCTGGAAGCGTCGTTAATCTCCTGCAATTTTGGATGTGCAATCGACAGAGAAGAGGCATGGCTCCTTCCTCTACCCTCAGCTCTGTTATTTGGTGCATTCTAGAAACATAAAGAACTTCAAGAGAAGGAAAGCCTCCTTTGGAGAAAACCAGTATCTTTGTTTTCTCCTCGAAAGCTTCTCCTAAAAGCTTCAAAATTGTTAGGTTTGGCAGCTTCTCTAGTATTCCCATTTGGTCCTCCTTGAGACCACAACTCCACAATACTAACTTGGTGAGGTTTGAATAGTTGTGGAGCTCTTTCGGTAATTCTGCGATTGGCCCATCCAACGTCAATTTGTATATACCCCGACAGCTTGATACTATTTGCATAGCTTGCTCTTCACTGCTATTCGTGTCATTTTTCACAATTAGAGACCGAATACGGTTAAGCGTGCTGCCTGTAGATTTTAAGATTTCCTCCAGATTTTGCAAAGAGCCTAACACTCTTATTTTCAGTTTTCTAAGATTGGTTAATCTACCAACATCTTTCAAATCACAATACTCACTTGAAAGGTTATGTAAGGTCTGTAGATGGCCAAGAGCAGACAGCTCCAGCTTACCCTTTGCTCTGTAAGTCCAGGGTAAATATAAATGTCTTAATTGTTTCATCTTCATTATCACATCTGGGATGACCATGTCGTCATTCCTAACACGAAAATCAAGAGTTTGCAAGCATACTAAATTACCTAGGGATGGCGGAAACGTTCTTATATTGCTACTCCTCACACTTAGAAACCTTAAGTGTACCATATTTCCAATTTCACTTGGCAAGTCAACTTCTCTTGCATTTGACGAGCCAAATTCTCTTGCACAAAGACCTTCAAGCTTCAAAACTCTAAGCATTTTGAAATCCTTCAACGGAGATAGTAATCCTTTTTCACTTATTGGCCTCCATTCTCTTAGGCCAAAGAATAATAGAGACCTTACGTGCCCATTTGTTTTGTCTCTTGAAGAAACCAACCTATCTGCGTTCTCATCCAAGTAAATTGCAAGTCTTCGAATTTTCCCCAATTGTGCTGCCTCGGCTGCCACAGAAGAAGTATTTTCTTGCAAAGAATAGTTAATTTGGAGAAAGCTTTCCTCTTTTGCCTTTAACAAACACATGTCTCGTACAAGATCATGGATTCGACAATTTTTAATTGTCCCAGTTGAACCACTTGTTCCCACTTGAACCAAACTCATTTCCACCAACTCACTTAAGCAATCACGTGCTATATCCTCTATTGTTTTCTCCGAACCATGTCTTTGTTGTCTCAAGAAGATAAGACCTTCTGCCACCCATAACTTAGTCAATGTGCTTACCGAAATAATACAATCTTCAGGATACTGACCTAAATATAAAAAACATGGTTTTAAGTAATAAGGTAGGTCATCATAACTCAATGCCAAAACCCATGATGCACCTTCATATTCTTCTTCATGACCTATCCCTCTCCTTATGTATTCATGAACATTCTCATGCACTCTCTCCCACTCTCCAACAGTGCTTTTTCTTGCTAGAACTCCAGCAAGCACAATAATGGCTAATGGCAAACCTTTACAACGTCGAAGCATATTCATTCCTAATTCTCTCTTTTTTGTGTACATTCCCAAATCTAAAAAATAAGAAAGAAAAAAGAATTACGTTCTTGTTGTATGAGCATGCCAAGGAACAAAAACAAGAAATTAAGGACATGACAGATGATGAAATAGCAAAGGATGCCAATTAAGACATTTATATTGTGAAATCCCGAAATTTACTAATATCCTTTGTCTTATTATAAGTTTGGATTTTATAACACATGCCAAATGGAGAACATTCAAAAATTAAATCTGGACCAACACAAAAAAGTTTGGGATATGTTTGGATTTAAGAGAAGGTTGGGAGAAAATTTTGAATTGTCTAGCATTGTCCTGATCATTATTTGCAATTGCATAAGATAAATCATCTGCTACCTAACAAATATGTGACCAAGTAAGGCAGTTTGACAATACTAAAAAATTGTGAAGGGTAATCCCAACAATGAATGAAAAAAAAAATTAAAAAACACTACATAATAAGTTGTGTCATATGCAATGTAATGGTTTCTGTGTGGCTTGCTATATAACTAAGAACCTAGAAAAGAAAAGAGTAAGGGTGAGAAAATACCGTTATCGGCCCTTTTAGATATTGCTTTCTTCTCAAGTAGGTTCCAACTCTCATTCTCATTGAGTGGCTGGAGTTCGTGGAGAAAAGCATTTCTATTTGGGAGCGTGGCTACTTTTTGACTGCGTGTAGTAAGCAATATTGTGCTCTCTGTTTCCTCATCTGGAAATGCAGCCTTCAAAAGATTCCATGTCTCGATTCTCCATATGTCATCAAGGATCACCAAACATTTCATTTTTTGCATAACACGGAAAAGCTTCTTTGCTATTTCATCATCTGTCATGTCCTTCATTTCTTGTCTTTGTTCCTTGGTAGCAGAAATGACTTCAAATAAAATTCCCTCCCAAACATTTCTTACTTGATAACGTTGAGATACACAGACCCAAGCAAAACTATGAAAATGTTGCCTTACTTTTTTGTGATGATAAACCTGTTTTGCAAGGGTGGTCTTCCCTAAACCGCCCATTCCCCAAATAGATACAACTGGATGACGATTTTTATCTTTCACTAAATGCATAACCAATTCTTTAACGTTGGACTCTAACCCAACAACATCACGTTCAACAACATGAGAATAACTTCTCCTTAGCCTCTCATGCAATTGCAAGGAAGATTCACCACCACTACCGTCTCTGTCCGTTGTTAGTTCCTTTATGCTATACTTCTGCAAACTTGACCTCAAATCAGAAATTCTGGTGGTGATATTCTCAATTTCGTTCCCAATCCTGTGAACATCAACCCCTTCCTTGAAGGTCCTGGCAAATCTTTTGAAAACATTCTTGAGGCCGCTTTCCTGCTTCTTGGAATCCACTTTCAAGCCATAAGTTTGGATGACATCCTCCAAATCATAAGCAGCATCCCTAATCTTGGCAACCCAAATACGGACTGTTTCATCTTGTCCTTGTCTTGCATCTGCATCTTTGAGGAAGCCCTGCATCAATTGTAGCTCAGTTTGTGCGACCTCAACTTGATGGCTGACTCCAGACAAGAACTTGGCTTCCTCAATGGTGAAGTCTCTGACACTTTCGAGCACAAAGGAAACAACTGCCTCAGCCATTCTCTCTACTACTTACTCTCTCTTCGCCAAAACGAAAACAACAACTAAACCTCCAGATCTAATTTGCAGATTGATCGATCTCCAGTCTTTTGTCGATGTATGAATGGCAGCCAATTGAGTCTATTTCTGACCACCTTGTTCTAAAATATAATGTAATGCAAGCTGTAGTAGGTGAACCAGAATTACTTCTAGATTGATTTAACAATTTCTATCTGCATATGTCCAGTAAACTAATAAATAATCGTCCCAACATCTCTCAAAAAATAATAGTCAACATTGGCGTTTGCTCATCAATTCCACCAGAAAAAAAAGTAGTAAACTTTGGCGTTTTCGTTCTTTCTGACCACCTTCCCTTAATTATATATTTCCTCTAACTTTTTTGACAGCACACACCACACTACCACAGCATCCAATGCAAGTTGTATAATTGAAGAAAAAGGAAAAAGAAGACCTTATCTTGTAGCTGGCTGCCCCATTTTTTATATTTTTTATTTTAAAGATAACCTCCACAGTACCCAAAAAACAAAAAAAAATCTTCCAACAAACGCAGGGCCACCTCTGTGTAGAGCATAATTGTGATACTCTATGAGCAGCCCCATCTGCATATCTAAAAGCAGCATGAACTGGTGTGCTCCAAATCCGAGTACAGCCGTAAGGCTATACTATTTCTTATTAAAAAAAAATTAGAAAAACCGCGTATTTTAAACTTCTGGTCTGAGTCTCTTGCTAATTCCTTGGGGTGCATATGTTTCAGAGTGCAGGGAGGGCAGCATTAAAAACGACTTGCCTTGGGAAATATCTGAGTACTTTTAGATAGGGGTGGGCATATGGACCGAAGAATCGGACAACCGAACCAAACCGGGCTGAAAAAAACCGAAAAAAAATCATGTTGACCAAAAAGTCAACACTAGTGCAAAAAACCGAACCGGACCGGTGCTGTCCAGTTCCAGTTCCGATTCTTCAACTCAAAAAACCGGACTGCGCCGAACCGGACTGGGCATAATTAAATTTATATTAATTTATTTATATTATACACGTGGTGCTATATAATTGGAGGTTGCAAAGAATTAAAATAGAACTTCTGCACTTGATTTCAGCCCGTGTTAAACACTTAGGGCTTTCTTTCTCTAGCGATACATTTTTTCTCCTCCCTTTCAAACTCTGTCTCAGCCATCGACGATAGCGCCTCCAATTCTTCCTCCACTCTCCCCAGTCACTGCTCCGCCTCTCAGTCGTCGACGTCACAGCCGTTCTTCTCGTCGTCGGCGCCTCTGTCTGGTGGTAAGTTAAATCTCATTTCATCTCATCTCAATTGGGGATTTTTAAAATTAGGGTTGAGTTGTTTTGTTTTGGGGGTCCAGATATTTGAAGTTAGAGAGCGACAGGGGAAATTATATGAAGATATTTCAGTACTCAGCAGCAAACTAGGGAACTAATTTTATGGTAAGCCCTCGTGGTTTGATGGTGTAGCCTTCCTGTAAACATTAATACAATTAAACTTATTATGGGTCCATATAAATATACATATATATACGCACATGTGAAAATTTATTCAAGATATTTAGCAATGAATTAATCATCATGATCCACAAAGACATATTATAAGAAATTTATTGTGACATCTTATAACATGCTTAAATAATCACCCTGCCCAGCGAGATTGCTTCTTTCTCTGCTTGGAAATGAGGCTTAGTCATAGCCATATGTGAACGAACGTCTGTTTTCTTCTCTGCTTCTTCTTCTTATTCTTCTTTTTCTTCAGCTGCCTCTATATTGTCTTGAAGATATAGCCTCAGTTAGCCTTTTATATATAAATTAATCCAGGGAATCAAGTAGCCTCCTTCCTCGCTTTTTCTCTCATTTATAACAGTCGCAAATACATACATATTACACTTTTGAATATTGATATACTTTTATGGTTTTGTTTTTAAAATTTTGAGTACTTTTCTTAATTATATATTTTATGGAGTTTCTGTTCATGTATAGTTTCACATTCAATATACTGTCCATTACCAGATATAATCAGTGATCACTTGTTGCTAGCTACTGTTAATAATTTTAATTAATTTTTAATTTCCTTTACAGGTTTTTAATATCTTCAAATTTCTGTGAACAACACTGTATGCCATTTCTCCCAGCTTGCAAGTGACGAAACAGTGTTGGAAGAAGGAGATATTCTGAAGATGTAAGTTTTCTCATGAGTTTCTTTTTGTTACTTCTGCTGTACATGAAAGATAGCTAAATGTTATATGAACTGAATATAATAAGCTTGTAAGTGGGAACATATTGATGCTTTTTTGGTTCTCATGCTGTGATTTGGGTTGTCATATTGACGAGTTCATTGTATACATATTGACAAGTGTTCAAACCTTGCCATGTTGCTAAGTATACATATATAATTGGAGCTTTGAATATGATTACTAGCTTGCCTACTTGTAGAGTTCAGCTATTTGACCTTGAACTTTCTAATAACTTTCAGATGCTTATAGGACTTTATTATATTATCAATTGCTGTTTTTTTTTTTAAAATTCCACCAAATAATCATACTTTGCAATATAGGACTTTATTAGATTATCAGTTGCTGTTTATTGACTCCTACCATTGTGGAGGCCTTAATTTGTGCCCAAAATTGGTTAAAGTCCGATGACATCTCTTCTTTAGAGTATGAGCCAAGCATTCAAGAGATGGAGTTTTATGAATCGATTGAGACAGGTATTATTTTTCTTTCTCTTTTTGTGATTTAATGATATATTTTTCTGTTTTTTTTTAATGTGATTTAATGGTGGATATATGATTTATGTTTTTATGTTTATATTTTCTAGATCTTAGGAGGCCACGCACACCAACCAATTCAACTCATGCAACTTTCCAATGAGACTACATGGTTGTTTGAGTGTGGTTTCTGTCTTGAGGTATGTTTTTTATCTGTCCATGGTATTATAAAACAAGAAAATAATTGTGTTAATTTAAGATTTTGTTTGAATGAATGCAGTTCATCCAACTAGAGCAAAGCTTGGTAAACCTTGTGATATGAGATTTGCTGCTCAAATTTTTGGCAACTTGATAATGGATGACATAATGGAGCCAATTGTATATTTGTTTTGTGTAATTTAATTTGCTGCTCAACTTTGTGTAATTTAATTTGCTGCTCAACTTAGCCAACCTTGTGTAATTTAATTTGCTGTAGTTTAATTTGGCAGATTTGATTACTGCTGAACTTTGCTGTAATTTAATTTGCTGCTGAACTTCGCTGTAGTTTAATTTGGCAGACTTGATTACTGCTGAAAACTTTGCTATAATTTAATTTGGCAGACTTGATAACTGCTGAACTTATCATTTTATGTCTTTGTTTTGTTAAAAGTTTCAGTATTTAGGCCAATTGTGGTGTAAAAATTGGGCCAATTATGATGTAAGCCCAACAATTTAAAAATTCAGGTTGTTTTAAAGTTTAAAAACCCAAAAAACTCAAATGGGCCTTCAAGCAGGCCCAAACCGTTCAGAACAGGGAACCGAACTGGACTGTAACCAGTCTGGTTTGGTTCGGTTCTACTATCAGTTTTATACAAAAACCAAACCGGACCGGACTGTATGCACAGTATCAGTTTCAGTTCCAATTTGGACTCAAAATTGGGCCGAACCGAACCGTGCCCAGGCCTACTTTTAGATGACCTATCTTAGGGGCCAATGACACTTAAAAAACTTATAGACAAAGATAAAATCATCCATTACAGTATATCGATTTCGTAAATGTATGCATCACAAAAATAAAATCATATCATATGGCACATGGGACCAAGTTGGGAATGCTAACCGTGAAATAAACAGAGGCATCATGCCATGCCCACAGGCTCAAATATTCATAATTGAAAGCAGACACGAAAGAAGGTTTCATCAAGGAAATTTTAATATAATACAATAATTTCAATTGTGTAATATAAGTGTATTGTTGGACAACCACTAGACCCAAAAGCTTGTAACGAACTTTAAACTAGTTGACCACATCTTTGCTCCTCTTGATTTTTATAGAGCATTTCTTTCTTCTCCCTATAAGTTCAACTTCGCACATGCTCCCCCTGCTGCAGAGTTTCGAGATACTTTCTCAATGTCAGGTCCTACCTGCAGCTACCATAACACAAATTCAGAAGTTTACTTGTGAAAATTGCATTCCAATATGAACATAGTAGTAAAATTGTACTACATTTCGAAAAGAAAAACACTCATTTCAAGATAGTATTCTTGTACATAATAGTTTATCCAATATGCCAAAGAAAACAAGAGTATGTATTTAAGCTTCGTGTTTTACGTACGTTTTGGGTATGTGTTAGCCTTTTTACTAAAACAACGAGAGATAAGTTGTTAACATGATCAACTATAAAGAAAATCCTATTGCTTATCGACTGGAGCTTTCTAATTGTTCTTCACATGAATGAACATATATTCAAAATGTCTCAAAATGCCATAAACATATATTCAACTGTTAACTTCCAAAAAACATATATTCAAGCCTTGAAGAAGAAAATACTTGGAAATCTATCATTCACAAAATGGTCAGAATCAATCCCTTCATTAACTTCAAAATTTCTGGATTCAAATACTTTTAGAAGAGCTTGAAATATTATTATAAGATTGCCACGGAACCATCGAAAACTTAAATTTGGAATGCGATAGAATTATCATATGGTGTCGGTGCTTCATTTTATAAGTAATAAAATAAGGAAATTTAACCTATTGGCTTTTAGATTTAGCTTCTCACTCACAACTCACAAGCACAAGCAAAAAGCAATAAAAATGGAGAAAGAAAACATAGGTAAACAAGGGAGCCCATATTCTGTTGGCTTTTCTACTTTAATATTCTCTCGCTGCTTCATTTTATAACTAATAAACACAAACCAAACCACCCATTTCGCTTTAAAATTAAAAAGAAAGAAATTACCTTGCTATCACTTGATGGTGGTGGTTAGTAGAAGAGGGATGGTTCTTCAATTACAAGGGAAGGTACATGTTGAATTTTATAGAAATCCTCTCCATCTTCCTCAATCCGACGGTGGAGTTCTCCATGCATCCCTCTGATGGTTAATTCCCTGAGATTAGTAAGATATCTCAGCCCATCTGGAAGCGTCGTTAATCCTCTGCAATTTTGGATGTGCAATCGACAGAGACGAGGCATGGCTCCTTCCTCTATCCTCCACTCTGTTATTTGGTCCATACCACGAACATAAAGGAATTCAAGAGAAGGAAAGCCTCCTTTGGAGAAAACCAATATCTTTGTATTCTCCTCGAAAGCTTGTAATATAAGCTTCAAAATTGTTAGGTTTGGTAGCTTCTCTAGTATTCCCATTTGGTCCTCCTTGAGACCACAACTCCACACTTCTAACTTGGTGAGGTTTGGATAGTTGTGGAGCTCTTTCGGTAATTCTGCGAATAGCCCTACCAACGCCAATTTGTATATACCTCGACAGCTTGATACTATTTGCATAGCTTGCTCTTCACCGCTACTATTTCCAACAATTAGAGACCGGATACGGTTAAGCGTGCTGCCTGTAGATTTTAAGATTTCCTCCAGATTTTGCAAAGAGCTTGACACTCTTATTCTCAGTTTTCTAAGATTGGTTAATCTACCAACATCTTTCAAATCACAATACTCACTTGAAAGGTTATATAAGGTCTGTAGATGGCCAAGAGTAGACAGCTCCAGCTTACCCTTTGCTCTGTACTCCCAGGGTAAATATAAATGCCTTAATTGTTTCATCTTCATTATCACATTTGGGATGACCATGTCTCTACTAATAACACGAAAATCAAGAGTTTGCAAGCATACTAAATTACCTAGGGATGGCGGAAACGTTTTTATATTGCTATGCCTCACACTTAGAAACCTTAAGTGTAACATATTTCCAATTTCACTTGGCAACTCAACTTTTACTCGATACAGACCTTCAAACTTCAAAACTCTAAGCACTTTGAAATCCTTCAACGGAGATAGTAATCCTTTTTCACTTATTGGCCTCCATTCTCCTAGGCCAAAGAATAATAGAGACCTTACGTGCCCATTTGTTTCATCTCTTGAAGAAACCAACCTATCTGCGTTCTCATCCAAGTAAATTTCAAGTCTTCGAATTTTCCCCAATTGTGCTGCCGCGGCTGCCACAGAAGAAGTATTTTCTTGCAAAGAATTGTTAATTTGGAGAAAACTTTCCTCTTTTGCCTTTAACAAACACATGTCTCGTACAAGATCATGGATTCGACAACCTTTAATTGTCCCAGTTGAACCACTTGTTCCCACTTGAACCAGACACCTTTCCACCAATTCACTTAAGCAATCACGTGCTATATCCTCCATTGTTTTCCTCGAACCATGTCTTTGTTGTCTCAAGGAGATAAGACCTTCTGCCACCCATAACTTAGTCAATTCGCTCACAAAAAACTCAGAGTCTTCAGGATAATGACCTAAATATAAAAAACATGGTTTTAAGTAATACGGTAAGTCATCATAACTCAATGCCAACACTTGTGATACACCTCCATATTCTTCTTCATGACCTATGCCTCTACTTATGTATTCATGAACATTCTCATACACTCTCTCCCATTCTCTAATGGAGTTTTTTCTGGCTAGAACTCCGGCAAGCACAATGATGGCTAATGGCAAACCTTTACAATATTGAAGCATCTTCATTCCTAAGTCTCTGTACATTCCCAAGTCTGAAAAATAGGAAAGAAAAAAAATTAAATACGGACTTGTAGTATGAGCAATTGTAGTGGATATTCCTTGCTCGAATGATTTAAAATTAAAATCTTGAAATCCTGAAATTTACTGATATTCTTTATCTTATTATAAGTTTGGATTTTATAATACATGCCAAATGGAAAAGAAAAGATGAAGGGTGAGAAAATACCGATTTCAGCCCTTGCATGTATTGCTTTCTTCACAAGTAGTTCCCAACTCTCATTCTCATTGAGTGGCTTGAGTTTGTGGGGAAAAACATTTCTATTTGGGAGCGAAGCTACTGCTTGATTCCGTGTAGTAAGCAGTATTGTGCTTTCTGTTTCCACGTTTGGAAATGCAACCTTCAAAAGATTCCATGTCTCGATACTCCAAATGTCATCAAGAATCACCAAACATCTCATTTCTTCCATGACACGAAAAAGCTTCTTTGCTATTTCATCATAAGTCATTTCCTTAATTTCTTGTTTTTGTTCCTGGGTAGCAGAAATCAGTTTAAACAGAATTCCTTCCCAAACATTTCTTACTTGACACCGTTGAGATACACAGACCCAAGCAAAACTACGAAAGTGGTGCCTTACTTTTTTGTGATGATAAACCGTTTTTGCAAGGGTGGTCTTCCCTAAACCGCCCATACCCCAAACAGATACAACTTGATGACGTTTTTCATCTTTCACCAAATGCATAACCAATTCTTTAACGTTGGACTCTAACCCAACAACATCACGTTCAACAACATGAGAATAACTTCGCCTGAGTAGTTCTTGCCTCTCTTGCAATTGCAAGGAAGATTCACCGTCATTACTGTCTCTGTCCCTTATTATTTCCTTTATGTTATACTTCTGCAAATTCGACCTCAAATCAGAAATTCTGGTGGTGATATTCTCAATTTCGTTCCCAATCTTGTAACGATCAACTCCTTCCTTGAAGATGCAGGCAAATCTTCTTAGAATATTCTTCACACCTCTTTTCTTCTTGGAAGAATCATAGTAACCTCATTATTTCAATCATTATCAAAATTCAGTGCAAATAACTAACCAAAGCATATATATACAATTTTTTTTTTTTATTTTTTTTTTAACCACTTTCAAGCCATAAGTTTCAATAACATCTTCCAAATCATAAGCAGCATCTCTAATTTGGGCAACCCAAATCTGGACTGTTGGATCTTCTCCTTGTCTTGCATCCAAATCTTTCAGGAATCTCTTCATCACTAGTAGCTCAGTTTGTGCAGCTTCAACTTGACGGCTGACTCCAGAAAAGAACTTGGCTTCCTGAATAGTGAAGTCTTTGACACTTTCGAGTACAAAGGTGTTCGTACCACTTTTACAAAAATCAAAGGAGATAGTATCGTATAGTAGTGTAGCTCGGAAGTCCGAGTGTCGTATCCAC